AAGGAGGGGATCTGAAAAAAGTAACTGTCGCACCCCGACTTCACAACGATCTCACCGAAGTGCATGTTGTGGAGGAAAAGTTCGGGAAGTGTCTCGGAAAACACTGTGGCGTCGAGGGCAACGAAAGTGCCGCATATTCAATTTGGGAGCGAGAACCTGGCAAGTTGCGGAAGTTGTGCGGTTCATTCGTAGGAGAGGCGGAAGGTGTGCTTTTGCTGGGTAGGGCGCATGCGGGTCTTGTATGAAAGTTATTGCTTGCAGGTAATAATGTCATTGACTGTGACGAGTCGGCCAAGGACATTGCATACTTGACAAAGTTCGTCGACATACTTGTTAAGTATGGGAAATTCGAGTGCCGCCTCAAGAAGCCGCAAGCCACACATCGCACGAACAGGGATATGTACCACAAGTTGGGACCGAAAAGACTGAAGGTGTGGGAATACCTTTTCCGCGATGCGCTGGATGGACGCCTTGATGGGGGATACATATATAGGAAAGCCAAGGTGACCGAGGTCCTCAAACATTATCACGGTGCTCTAACTGGCGCCTTCGAGACATTCGGTGCTCGATGCGAGATCTTGAGGTTTGATCTTCACAAAGATAAACTGACGTTTAAGGACTATGCAGACCTCGTTAAATCGGGTGAAGGCTTTAACCCCGTTGACAGCGAGGAAGACTCGCCGGACTCCGACCTCGAGATCGAAAAGGGCACCAATGCAACCGGGTGGTGTGGGAAGTCCGCTGCCATGGAGCACAGCGTCAAGGGATATGGACCGGGTCAATCAGAGGGATGCTCGAACCTGCCACCCGCGAACAGTGTGGCCTCGGGTGTGGACCGGGTTGTATGTATGCCTGTCGAAGACGACGAAGACGATGACCTTGATATTCCTGCTCAACCAACGAAGTTGGCTTCAAGCGATCCGATTCCTCCCAGATTTTGTGCGGATGCAAACAATGTGTATTTCTTGGATGACAAATACGCCTGCACTAGTGAGGATAAGTGGGGCCATGATATCATTTGGCATGACGGCATTTTCGAACCATGTATCCAAGGCGGGGAGTGGAAAATGGCGGTGAAGTATGTCTCGAAGGGTTGGAGACTGTTTCCCCGCATGGGAAAGGACAACTGGCTGAAGACAACGGAGCAATCAATACTATACCGCTGTCGGAAAGAGAACCCCGGGGAGAGTGAAACATCCATCGCGGCAAAGGCGAAACAATTGTTCGACGCCTTGGGAGCCACTCGGCAGTTAGAGTACTCACAAGTTTTACGAGCTGCAGTCGAGCCCCTCGTACGGCAAGATTGACTGGAAGGTTGAGCGCGCCGCCGCGCTCGAGAGCATGGACGTGGACTCCCGAGAAGATGCCGCCTCTGTGCCCGAGGCGGCCACAGGGAACACGACGGTTGAACAAAGGGAAGATGGCAGGACGACGTTTGGCGTGAAGCCTCCGTTGTCAGAGGCGGGGAACACGCCCGCAGGCAAAAACACCATCAGAGCCATCTCTGTCGCAACAGGGGATACATCACAAGGTGAAAAAGTGTCACTCGACAAGCTGGCAGATGCGGGCGCCACATACGGGAGTCTCCTCGCGACAGGTGCGGCGCTGGCAGGCACATCGGAGATGGTGTCACAGTCCACTGCTGGGATGGGCGTCACGGGGATGTCGTTGCATCCGCCCACATGCACTAGCAAAGGTGACGCACACTGTACAACAACAGCACAGGGAAGGGTCACAGGGGATGATGGGAATGGGGGAAATGCAGGGGGGTCTCCACGTTCTCGCAATATTGAGGACATGACGACGGACGATGAGGATGGGGTAGAAGGCGGAAAGGGCGTGAACGATCCCACGCGTGCAAAAAATGAGGGGTGAGACAGGGAATGAACTTGAAGGGAATCCTCTTCGCGGGGAAATTTAATGTTTTCGTGTGTGTGCTCATTTGTTTGAAATCTGGGTTTGTGGGCGGAATTTGTTCCTGTGTACAATGGACTTGCAGACTCATTAGTGTTCAATTTCTGGGATTTGGCCTTTTAATTGTTGACAAGAAAATTATGGGGTGAACAATAGTGTGTCGTAGTATGCGTGTGTGTCTCTCTATATTCGTCAATATGCTGCGTTGTATATATGCATGTATGTCGTTGGGGTACGATGATGAAAGGGGGCAGGAGTTAGGATTGATTGGTCCCGAAGTGTTGTCGTTCATCTAAGTGTAAGTTTAGCGAAACATTGATGACGTATCTTGAATACATCATTTCCGTTTAGCATGTTATGCTAAGGCACTTGCCCATGTACAAGTATCTCAAATGGTCGCCCTCCCCGTTTTTTACACTGCCTGCCCACCCATTTCTTACTTTCCTATAAGGGTGACCATTTTTTACACCCCTGTCCGCCTCGGTCACCGTTGTTTACACCGCCGTCGATGTCGTATTCGTCGTGTTTGTCGTGTGCAGTGCAAATTACAACAACGGATACAAGAAAGTGCAAAAGAGGGTGGACAATGCGCCTCGCAACATCGTCTTTATCAGAGAAGGAGATGAAAGCACTCTCACATGTATGCCGGGAGTACAGGAAAAGGTTCCCAATAGCGAGCACACACAATCATCGGACGAACGAAGTACTAAAGCTAACTCGAGACGCATTTATTTTACTAGTCGACGAGCGGAACTGGTTAAATGACAACGTCGTCAACTTCTACCTAAACCTCATCGCACTAGACAACTGGTGTAGAATCACACACGTAGAATGCGACGCCGAGAACGATACCGTGATTAGAATCGGAAAGGGTCGCATTCCTAGAATATCAGTGTTGAGCTCGTTTTTCTTCGCCAGACTTTTCGACACCGAAATGAGATATCAAGAGCGAGAGGTGCAACACTGGTCGAATGACATTATAATAAGTGACATGGACTTGATAATTGCCCCTTTCCATATCGCACACACGAACCACTGGACCCTCGTTGTGGCTGACTTCAGGAGGAGGAAATTTGAATTTTACGACTCCCTCAGCCCCGACAAAGAACTCGCAGCCAAAGTGACCGGCGGATTTGCAAAGTTTTTGTTTAAAAGATCGATTCAGCAAGGCAAAGAGGTGGACACGAAACCGTTTAATCACATATGGACCGTAGAGGGCGTCCCGAAACAACGTGACACTAGCTCGTGTGGGGTCTTCATTCTCGCATACGCGTCGCTATTGGCTAGGGGTCACCTTCCACCTTTCTCTTTCACCGCTGATGACATACCCGCAATACGTCGTCGAATGGCTTTGGACACAGTGGCTCGCGAGTAGTATGAACCTGCTGCTGGATATTGTGATTACATGCGGATGGATGTGGGTAACATTAAATTGTTTGTCATAGAAACAGTGTATAGAAGATGACAACCATTGCTCCAAGTTCCTGCCCCTTACCCCTTGTCTTTTACCCCTTACCCCTTACCCTTGCATGTATACCCATACCCCAAATTCAAATTCATTTTTGACCCTAAATCACCACGGAAATGACAATTTAAATTTCGTTCAAAAAATATAAAATGTCCGTTTTGACGAAATCGCTGTTTCCTTCCTCCTATTCTTTCTAAGTATTTTTGTTTGCCCAACTGAGCACCTTTAAGTTGTGCCAAACAGTCGGTCATTCATCATCTGGAGTGCCTACAACACTCTTAGGAGGGCCACTGAGTTCAGGATGTATGTCACGGTGTTGCCTGTGGGTGAGGACGAATGCTCGTCGGAGTGTCTCCCTGGCGCAGTGGGTGCTGGGAACCAACAGTCTGCGGGGTTCACCCTTGATGTGAGTAGGTGATGTGCCGCTTCGCTACATGTTGGATGTGTGGACTGCCTCGTCTGTGCTCTACCACTGCCTTGCTGCCCATTCGACTTGTTTCACAGGTCATTCTTGGCAAGTTGTTGTCTTCGCTGTGTGGTGTGGCCGGGTGATAATGTTGCCTTGTGCATCGCTGCTCTGCTGCCTTGCCGCCCTTCCACTGGTCGTTGCATCCCTGTTCTTTGCTTGCGCCCCTTGTAGTTCGGTTGCCGTGTTGGTGTTGCCTTGGACTTCACCGCATGGTTGCTCTGCTGCTTGTCCGCTTGCCCTGTCGTCCCTTGCAGTGTAGTTATCTTGGGGGCATTGCCTTGTGCTTCACTGCGTGGTTGCCGTGCTGCAAGTCCTGTGTGCGGTGTCGTTCCTTGCAGTCGTTTTTGGCGTTGTGCAGCCGAGTTGCCTCTACTGCGTTGCCTGGTGCTTCGCAGGGTTGCTGCCCGCTGCTATGTTCCGCTTGGGGACAGTCTGCCTTGAACATGGGTCAAAGGGTTCATGACCCAAACCATCAATACGGACATTCCGCAGATTGTCGAGAGTTCAGCCTCCTGCTGAGTCGGTGCAACTCCAAAGAAACAATCTTTCATCATCAACTTTTATTATTTTTTTCAGTGTTTCGATTTTCTTTGGACTTGTATTTTCTGGTTTGCCTGTTTGGTGTGCTTGCATGATGTTTGTCCTCCCGCCTCCCCTGTGCCATCCAGCCTTCACCCTTCCCTGTCCTTTGTGCTTATGTACTGTATGCCCTCCCACCTCCCCCATGCCCTCCAGCCTATATGTTCCTCATACTTTTCATTCATGCTGCATGGCAACTGCTCCATTTGCATGGCTACGATGCACTCACAAGCGCTTCGGCTGCACCGTATAACATGTTCCATGGTCGACAGACTTCACCATCCCTGCCAGGATTCCGTACTGTGTCGGCCATTATGCAAGAGCTCAGCCACTGCCGAGTAAAACAACCTGGCATGCGCATGAACACACACCCAGAACACGCACACGCACACACACACACACACACACACACACACACACACACACACACACACTTAAGCAAGAGTGCAAATGGGAGAATAGAACTCCCTCTACGATAAGTTCCGGCATGTGCAGACGTACGAGGCTGTGAACTGGATATTTATCAGACATACGAGCTGTCTGTAAGGACGAATGAGATACATGCGAGCCTACTGTAAGGACAGCACGTCTTCCCCCGAATAGACTGTACGGTCATTATCGCTGTATCTAGACTGAAGTTCCTTAAATGCAGCTATACTGACCGTGCGTTCTAATCGGAGAAAGCGGTAGTGAGCTTACTATTGTGACCCTGCGTTCTATTCGGGGAAAGTAGTAGTGAGCCGACTATGGTGACGTCCAGGCTGCTAATGTGTCAGGCAGGACAAGCTCCCACAGCGAGTTCCCTGCATTTTACTGTTCGCCTTTTCCGGACCGCTGTAGCTGTAGCCTGGGGGTTTGGTCTGGCTTGGGGGAAGGGGTCAGTCATATTTGTTGTTTGGCTTCGGGGAAGGGGTCTGTCATATTTGTTGCTTGGCTTGGGGGAAGGGGTTTGTCATATTTGTTGCTTGGCTAGGGGAATGGGTCTGTCATATTTGTATTTGTTGCTTGGATGGGGGAAAGGGGTCTGTCATATTTGTTGCTTGGCTTGGGGGAAGGGGTCAGTCATATTTGTCGTTTGGATGGGGGGAGGGGGTCTGTCATATTCTTGCTTGGCTTGGGGGAAGGGGTCAGTCATATTTGTTGCTCGGCTCGGGGGAAGGGGTGTGTCATATTTGTATTTTTACTATTTTTCCCTCTTTGAGCCATTTCTCGATTTATGAGGTGTTCTCCTTGCGCAGGGGCCATGCTAATGTTCTCTGTGGGCCTCGTCACACCACTGTCTAAACGAAAACAGCACGAGTGCATCTGCCCGCAGCGAAGGGCAAGATGCATTTGTTATTATAAATAACAATGGATGCATCTTACCTTTTTTTTTTTTTTTCCCCAAATCAAAAGTATATTCCAAGAATGAAGGTTCGAGGCCGGGGACCTCACAATTCAACCCGGGGTTATCCCGACAGCATTATCCGGTTTAGATTACAGTCGTAAGACTGGACAAAAACCTATACTAAAACCTCACCAACCAAAGCTAATTTTCGGGCCTACTATAGTCAACTGTCCTCCCCACCTTCGCTCAAAAGGCCTAGCATTAACTCAATGACCAAAAATAAATTGAAAACAACTGCCAGCTCTAAATTATCCTTAATTGTGGGGCTGCAAACTCTAAATTATCCTTAATTGTGGGGCTGCAGCCCCACCTTAAATTGAAAACAACTGCCAGCTCTAAATTATCCTTAATTGTGGGGCTGCAAACCATCCTACGAGAGAACAGGAGAGTAAGGTGGGGCTGCAAACTCATAATTAGTTTTGCCAGTTCCTCACCTACCTACCGCCTCTGCTCTATTCAACAACTTCACCTAATAACTCCCCTGGTTATTCTACTTAATTGTGAACTCCAAGAAATCACTATTTTTGAACTAGTAGGGCTAAAAAACGCCCTAACATGCATTTCAACCGGTCTAAAAGTCGACCGCGATCTGGCTTGCTTTACTTACGAGAGCCAAGTTTTGAAGGAGAGTTTTTGGTCCGGAGAGACTGAAATCACATTGGTGCATTTCCCCCACATCTGCGAGAACCAAAAGCGCCCTTTCCGGGGTTGTCTGCCGGAGTTATACCAATCACCTCTGATAATCTGCTTCGGTGAGAAAAGGACAACTGCTGTTTGACTGTGAAAGGTAGGAACTTCCTGCTTAAATGTTGCTTTGTTGCGCGACTTCCACAAAGCTTCCATTACGACTCCTCTGCATGACAAAGCCACATAGGGCCAACCTGAGGAGAAGTTTGTACCGGGATGAGTTAGCCCATATATAAACCATTCCTGACTCCATTTGAAGCAATCCCCTGCCATGTCCTTCCACCGTTCTTTCCACCATTCCCACATCTGCAGTGAGTATGGGCAAAAGAGCCAGACATGTGTGGCCGTCTCCCACCCCCACAGACACCTAGCACATTGGGTGTTGACGTTCATCCCCT